ATTCCACTTCCGAGAACGAAATACGTAATCGCAATGGTGACTCCGCCCAAAGCAGCCAAAGTGGCATTGTTAGCGGCTGATAGAAATTGTAAGCATTGGTAAAGGAGAGGGCTATGTCTAGCTATCGAAGGGGAGGAACTCGTTGCATCAACTGTACACGCAGCAGGATCTTGAGGAGGACCAGATGGGGTGGAATCACCAACGGACACCGAGCCGTCCGTCGTCTCGTCGAGTTGACGCTCATCCATTATCCCAAGGGACACAGCAGCTGCGCGACAGCACTCATTGCATCGCTGCGACTTTGACGGACGAGATAAGCAATAGTCAGGGGGTTGTCACAAAGTTATCCAGCTGGTTGTGGACAGGAGTTGAGAGGTTCAGGCGTGGAAGGACTTTGGTGATTATAATATGGTATGGTACGGTATGGTACGGTACGGTACGACTGGGGTGTGAGAATGGTGGCCGTGTTGTATTTAAATCACATCTCCCCGCACGCCTGCTTCAAGCGCTTTATCAGGACTTCCTTCGCGGGAAAGCTTCAAGCTAGAACAATCCTACGCGGCATTACTCCGCAAAGTCCTGTGACTCAAATATTCTTCATTAATCAATCAGATGGTCGAGCCTCCATATGGCATATCTCAACATTCATGGTGTCCTGTTATTTCACTCATTTCGACTAGCGACTCGCAGCCTGACAAAGCTCCCCAGATGCTATGCTCTTTCGCCTTCTGGTCAGCACATATCACCCGCCGATCTGGTGGTGCTTTCTAGATTCCCTGCTGGGTTCTCAGCGCCTCTTCACACGGCACTATTTTTTCCTGGTTTGCACTCCGCCCATCCTCTGTTACCAATGCTGAGTCTCCATAGGCCATGGCGTTCAACGAGTGGGGATGACCTCCGCGTGGCTTGATGCTTTTCCTTCCACCGCGAAGCCGTTTCTCGAAGAGATGGATAGCACTCTTAACGTTCGCCTCTCGACGATTATCTCGCACGGGCCAAACTCGAACCTAAACAAGACCGAGAATTCTCAACCGGCAATCATGGCGACGTCGATATTGATCCTTCGTGTTCTGCAGGAACATTTTGGCTTCGATACCAGAGCGCGGATCGATGTTACATTAGGTCATAGCCTGGGGGAGTACGCCGCTTTGGTAGCTGGGGGCTATTTGGGATTTGGACCAGCCCTCAAGATGGTTCGACGCAGGGCAGAGATAATGGCTCAATGCACTGCTGATGCAGGAAAACTGAGCGGTGAAACTTATGGAATGGTAGCACTCGTCTGTGAGCCCGATCGCTTGGCAGACTTAATTACGACCATCCAAGAATTCTTGGATCATAGTTCGCAGCGGTCAACCGACGATATCAGCGACGAGCTATCACCAATACAACAGGTTTCAATTGCAAATATCAACTCGAAAAATCAAATTGTTCTCAGCGGTAGCATTGAGCGGATAAAATACCTGTTGATACAGCTTCGTCAGTTTTCCGGTCATGATCCAAGGGCTGTCCGCCTAAGAAGCGAGAGCCCATTTCATAGCCCGGTGATGAAGCCAGCCGCGGATTACATGCGAAAGGCTCTTGAACACGTGGAAATCCAATTTTCCGATTCGATACCCTGCATTTCGAACGTATCCGCTATTCCGTTCCGGTCGAAAGATAACCTCAAAGA